ATGAGGGGGATGATGAACCTACTGACTCGGCAGCCAAGAAGAAAGCAAGGCGAGATGCGGCTAAAAAAGCAATGAATGAAGCCAAATCAAAACTCAAGCCTTTGTGGGATTTGCTGAATGATCCCAAATCTTCCCTCGACAATTTGTCAGACCTTTTAACCAAGTGCAATTTGTCCATGGACGATTACCTGAACTACGCTGAAGGACTCACCACTGGCAGTGCAGTTCTTTTGAAGCGTGATCCAAAGGAGACTTGGGTGAATGGCTACAATCCTGATTTGCTCAGGGCGTGGAATGCGAACATGGATATTCAGTACATCCTAGACGCTTACAGCTGCATCATGTATATGCTGTCCTACGTTTCAAAGCCAGAGCATGAAATGAGTGGCTTTCTTAAGAACGTGATCCAGAGTGTTCGTGAAGCCAACGTTAATGAAGAGGACGAAATGAAGCACATAATGCAAGCCTATGCCAAGCACCGGCAAGTAAGCGCTCAGGAGTCCGTTGCGCGAACATGCAGCTTGCCATTGAAGAAGTGTTCACGAAGTGTTGTGTTTGTTCCGACGGATGACGATGCCCTCAAGATGAGTCTGCCCATAAGTGTGTTGCTGAACAAAAATCCTGAATCGGAGGACGTCTGGATGTCAGGTTTAATAGAAAAATACAGAGCAAGACCTCTAACGTTGGAGTTTGAAAAAATGTGTCTTGCGGACTTTGCATCCAATTACCGTGTTGTGTACGGTCAGCAAATTAAAGGAAAAAATGTCCTCCGACTGCTTCATGATATGGGATTTATTCAAAAGAGGACTGTTGGCAAGCCTGCAGTTATCCGATATGCTCGCTTTTCAGAGGAGAAGCAACCGGAAAAATTTTATGGAAGAATGGTGAAACTTTACGTTCCCCATCGCCACAATGAAGAGCTGAAACCTGAGGATTTTCCCACATATCAGCTATTTTATAAAAGCGGATTTGTGGAACTTCCTGGACATCCTGGTCTCCGGTTCCCTGTCTGCGGCATAGTAAAGGCATACCAGCAGAGATATGAAAAGCACGGCAAAGTTGTAGATAAAGCATTTGAACAACTTCAGCAGGAAGGACCATCTGAGAGTGCTTGGACAGCTTTTGCACCAGAAGTTGAAGTGGATCGCCTGGAATGCATAGCTGAACAAGAAGACGTCGGTCCAGAGGAAGACGACGAACAGGATGAGGTCCCTGAATTCCAGCCTCGTAATGAAGATGGCGATGGAGTTGCACCGCGCATAGAGGCGCCACAGATGAGTGTCGAGTTTGTCAGGAAGCTCTTTCGGAGTTTAAACAAGACACAGGCAGCCATATTTTACACCATTCGGCAGTGGTGTCAAAATCGTGTGTGGGGACTGAATCCAGAACAGTTTTTTTACTTCGTGTCAGGTGGTGCTGGATGTGGAAAGTCGCACGTAATCAAGTGCGTATACACTGAAGCAACGAAGATTCTACGACAACTTCCTCAGCTCCGGGAGGATGGGGATCTCTCCATTCCTACAGTGATTTTAAGTGCATTCACTGGAACAGCAGCGTTCAACATTTCTGGAAAAACTCTGCATTCCATTCTAAAGCTGCCAAGGAACTTGAAGCCACCCTATCAAGGACTTGGGAACTCTCTTGATGATGTACGAGCAGGATTACGTCACGTGGAAATCTTGATTATTGACGAAATCTCTATGATTTCAAAAGACTTTTTTGCATACATCAACTGGAGGTTTCAACAGATCAGAGGCAGCAAGAAACCCTTTGGGGGCATTTCTGTCATTGTGGTGGGAGACTTTTATCAATTACCGCCCCCGGGAAAAGCCAAGCCACTCTGCGTTTACGAAGAGGATGTGCTGGACTTTTGGAAGGACCACTTCCAAATCATAACCCTCACGGAGATCATGCGGCAGAAAGAGGACCTTGCATTTGCCCAGCTTTTAAACCGATTGAGAGTGAAACGGAAATCTGATCCTCTTAAAGAAGAAGATAGATCTTTGTTATTGCAGGCTGTGAGGAATCCCCAAGACTGCCCACGTGATGCATTGCACATATTTGCAACCAACAAGGAAGTCCACAGTCACAATAGTGAGACGGTAAACGCTCTTCATGCTGACATCATAACCATTCATGCTGAAGATTACCGGAAAGACCCAAGAACAGGTGGGATGAAAAGACAGACTAAACCTGTCATGGGTAATAAAGACGACCTGCTTGACACCATACAAGTTGCAGTGGGAGTCCGCATAATGATGATAAGAAATCTGGATGTCGAAGATGGACTCGTCAATGGATGCTTTGGAAACATTAGAAACATTGTGACTAAAACAAGAGATGGAATTGCATTTGTGCACATGCTTGGCATTCAGCCCGACAATCCAAATGCTGGCCAGAAATACAGACGACGACTGCAAGGTGAACAGGACACTTTAGTCTACATCGAAAGATCAGAGGAACCTGTAAAGAAAAGAGCAGTCCGTCGACAATTTCCAATCAAGTTGGCCTACGCATGCACCGCTCATAAAGTTCAAGGCATGACCATGCAATCGGCTGTAGTGTCACTAAAGAGGATTTTTGAGCCAGGAATGGCCTATGTTGCCCTTAGCCGAACAACCTCACTTGGTGGGTTGTACATCAGAGACTTTGATGAAAAAAAGATCTATGCTGATCCGGAAATCACAACCTCGTTGGAGAGGATGAAAATGGCAACGCTGGAAGGCATCATGCCACTTTTTGACTGGAAGAAAAGCAACACCAGTCTGGTAGAAAAACTTATTGTTGTGCATCATAACACAGAGGGACTCCAATCACATGTAGAAGACATCAAACACCATCATGAGCTGCTTCTATGTGATATCTTTTGTGTTACGGAAACGCACCTCTCCGGATCATGCATCTCATCACATGTCCAGTTGGAAGGCTTTAAGATGTTTGCAAGAAATAGACATGCGTCTTACTCAACCCTTCCAGAAATGGCAAAGAAGGACTGTGGTGGAGTTGCAATTTATTGCAAAGAGGACATTCAGGCGGAACCTCGACACTTTATACACCACGTCACCGACCTGGAGTTTGTCGTCATCAAAGTTGATGCACCAGTGACTGCAACAATTGCTGCGGTGTACAGGCCACCAGACTATAGTCTGGAAAAATTTTTGCCAAACATCAGGGGCCTTCTTGATTATTTGGAAATGATGAAGGAGAATCCCATAATTGTCTGTGGAGACTTCAACGAAGACCACCTCTCGTCTGGAAGAAAGCCCATTCTGGAGTTGTTCCAATCCCAACAATACCAACAGCTCATCACCATGGCAACCACAGAGAAACAAACACTGTTGGATCATATTTATGTTTCTCATCCAGACTTGTGCATGCAGTCAGGTGTTTTACACACCTACTATAGCTATCACAATCCAGTGTATTGTGTTTTGCCTAAATAATTCAGCCAACAATCCAAATGCTGGCCAGAAATACATGCGCAACTGCAAGGTGAAGAGGACACTTAACTCTACATCGAAAGAGCAGAGGAAACTCTAAAGAAAGGAGCAGTTCGTCATCAATTTCAAATCAAGATGGCTAACACATGCACAAAGTTCAATGCATGGCCATGCAATCGGCTGTATTATCACTCAAGAAGATTATTGCCGTATTTGCAACCAACAAGGAAGTCCAGAGTCACAATGCTGAGATGGTAAACGCTCTTCATGCTGACATCATAACCAATAATGCTGAAGATTACCGAAAAAACCCAAGAACAGGAGGGATGAAAAAGCAAACTAACCCTGTCATGGGTAATAAAGACAACCTGCTTGGCACCATACAAGTTGCATTGATTGGGAGTCTGCATAATGCTGAACAAAAATGTGGATGTCAAAGATGGACTTGTCAATGGATGCTTTGGAAACATTGTGACTAAAACAAGAGACTGAATTGCATCTGTGCACATGCTTGGAAATCAGCCGACAATCCAAATGCTGGCCAGAAAAACATACGACAACGACTGCAAGGTGAAGAGGACACTTTACATCGAAAGATCAGAGGAAACTCTAAAGAAAAGAGCAGTCCGTCGACAATTTCCAATAAAGATGGCTTGCGCATGCACAAAGTTCAAAGCATAATAATGCAATCGACTGAATTAATTGGAAATGATGGAGAATCCCATAATTGTCTGTGGAGACTTCAACAAAGACCACCTCTCGTCTGGAAGAAAGCCCATTCTGGAGTTGTTCCAATCCCTACTATACCTACTGCTCATCACTATGGCAACCACAGAGAAATGAACACTGGCCTACGTTGTTGACTTAAACTGAACTGGGACACGGAAGACATGTAGATGCGTCATAAACAGCATCCTGTATTCTACCTGGTGATCTGGATTTATGGTCGCATGAAGGCGGTGTGTCGTACCTGAGGTGGTTGCTGTGTGAAGAGAGTAATGTCAGCAGCAGTAAGGGACATCAGGAGGACATTGTGGCATCTTCAAAGTGTACACGGCAGTGACAGCAGCAACAGTTGGTGAGTACTACTGTGGCTTTTTAAATGTTCCATTATTTTATGTTTTTCCTTTGTATTTGACATTTTGTACTGAATGTATGACTTGCAGTGGCGATGCTGGTTCAAGCCTCAACTCAGTCAGTTGGTGTTTTTGTGTGGAGTTTGCATGTTCTCCCTGCGTTCGTGTGGGTTTCCTCCGGTTGCTTCAACTTCCCCCACAGTCCAAAGACACGCGGAACAGGTGAATTGGTATCGGTTAAATTGGCCTGTGTGTGTGTGTGTGTGTGTGAGAATAAGTATGTCCAGATGTTTCCCAGAGATGGGTTGCGGCTGGAAGGTCGTCCGCTGTATAAAAATGGGCTGGATAAGTTGGTGGTTTATTCTTCTGTGGCGACCCCGGATTAATAAAGAGACTAAGCCGACAATAAAATGCATGAATGAATAATTTTATGTTTTTCCTTTTGTATTTGTGTTTGACATTTTGTACTGAATGTATGACTTGCAGTGGCAACGCTGGTTCGAGCCTCGGCTGGGTCAGTTGGTGTTTCTATGTGGAGTTTGCATGTTCTCCCTGCGTTCGAGTGGGTTTCCTCCGGTTGCTTCGACGTCCCCCACAGTCTGAAGACACGAGAACAGGTGAATTGGTATAGGTTAAATTGGCCTTTGTGTGTGTGTGTGTGTGTGTGTGTGTGTGTGAGTAAATATGTATGTCCAGATATTTCCCAGAGATGGGTTGCAGCTGGAAGGGCATCCGCTGCATAAAAACGTGCTGGATAAGTTGGCGGTTCATTCCGTAGTCGTAGCTCCAGATTAATAAAGCCGAAAAGAAAATGAATGAATGTATGACTTTTTCTGTTATATTATTAATTTGTTACAGGCACAGCTTTAACACAACAGCAGCCTTTTCAAAGTGGACAGAATTCTTTGAGATTCAATCTAAAGCTAAGTATTTTGTTTCAGTTGTTTGTAGTGCCTTATAATATAGTCACATTTTCAGCATAATGTTAAATCTTAGTCTCATTCAAGTGTTTTTTTTTTTTTATGTTTTTACTACCAGAAGACCCAAGAAGATGTTGACTGAGAAAACAAATGTCCTGCAGTATTGTTGAGGAAGACATCTACCTAACTATATATTGGTGAGCATGCTGTTAGGATCCCGTCATTTAATTGTAGTGTGTGTGTGTGTGTGTGTGTGTGTGTGTGTGTGTGTGTGTGTGCGTGTACTAATATGCATTTAAATTCTAAAACAAATGAGTTGTCATGTTACAAAAGATTCTATTTTAAATATTCTTTAAGCTTTCTCCAAAAAGAAATGTAAAAAATATATATTTCCACAAATTAAGCTGCATAAACTAAGGCATTATTAACAAGGTTATACACTAACCATTTAAATTAGAATTTACTGGAGTTGCTTGCTTCTTGAACTTAAAATACTTGAAAAATAAAATAAATAAAAAGCTTTTAAAATCTTAAAAGTTATGGAAAAAAGCTTTCTTTGTAGTTTTTTGCATCCCTATTATTGTTAATGGCTGTTCTAACTAGTGCTTGTGTATATAGTGTTCTTATTATTGATTCATCAATCTCATGGTTGTAGGAGAAGACCAGGTGTATGCGCACTACGGCATTGCAGAATGATGGACCAGAGGAAGAACATCTCTACTACGGAGGTATTCTGAAACAAGTGAGTTGTGCCGTTACAAAAGCTTCTATTTTAAATAGTGTTTAAGCTTTCTCTAAAAGGAAACTTTTACAAAATATTTCCAAAAATTAAGCTGCATAAACTAAGAGGCATTATTAAGGTGTTTATTCACCTAAAAATTTAAATTACTGATATTCTACTCGTTTCAAATATGTCTGAGTTGCTTGCTTCTTGAACTCAAAATGCTTGAGAATGCAAAAAAAATCTTTAATGTTGTGGAAAAACAGCATTGACTTTGTGTAATTTTTGCATCTACTATGAATGTTAATGGCTGTTTTTTAATGGTGCTTGTGTATATAGTGTTCCTAGTATTGATTTATTAATCTTATGGTTACAGGAGAAGACCAGGGCGTTTGGCATTGCACACCACGGCATTGCAGGATGACGGACCAGAGGTATACTTTATTAGTACTTCTAGGAGAGTCTTGTGGTTCAGTGCATCTTGTCATAACTTGTGCTTTGTCTTTAAGAAGTCTTTAAGAAGTATGGACTTTGTAAAACCTTAGATTTTAAAGTAAACCATGATTCTCATTTTCTCTTTGTTCCTGAAGTATCCAAACAATCAAAATATATATATTTTTTTACTAATAATTTTGTCACATCTGTTTTGCCTCCTCTTCCTCAGGATATACAGTCTGTGCATGCCAGATCCAGAGGCCAGATGGTGGAAGGCGGTTTCCTGCAACATTTAGATAATTTACATAGTTTAAAAATGTTATTAGCTTATACATTTAAAAAATGTTGTTATGTTACGTGCCACGCCCAAGGAAGATGGGTACTCCCTTGCTGAGTCTGGTCTTTCCAAGGTTTCTCTCCAAACTTTTTGGAGTTTTTTTCCTTGCCACAGTCGCCAATGGCTTGCTCACAGGGGGTGTTGTGCCAAGTCCTGTCTTCCCCTCGGGTCCTTTATCTTCAAACTTAGATTCCATTTAATAAGATATATAGTAATTTAACCATAAAAATGTTAATAAAAAGGAGCTTAAAAGTAATTTAAAACAAGTAAAAATAGGCTTAAGAGTACAAATAAAGCTTAGTCAATCATATCATCACAATTTAGGATATTTGTATGCAGTTTAGGTTTGAATATGTTTGCTTGTAATAAATACTAATGAGTAAAATATTTGCACCATAAACTATTAAGTGTTATAAATCAATAGTTTAACTTTTTTTTTTCTCAGATTAGAGCTGCAAATTATTTGCAGAAAGGGACAGTAGGTCAGGTAAAAATTGATTATCACATATGGCCAAAGTACATTTTTACTTTTAACAACGTAAAAAAAAGAATAAAACCCATTAGCATTTAGATGTTTCTTAGGGCACATTAATATATTAATTAATTAATAATAACAATAATAAAACAATTTTATGTTTATAGCTGGCATGGTCTTTATTAAATAAACATTCCCAGCACCAATTTATAGCAAATAATCATGTCATTTTATTATTATTAATTAAACCATGTTTAGCAGGGTGATTGAACTGCAGAATTATTTATAAATTTAACTCTGCCACTGTACACAGTTTGTGATAGTGCACTGAATGAGGTTTTAAATTAAAATTAACCATTTCAAATGCACATATTTATAATATTATATAATTTATTATAATATATAATTAATATAAAATATTATAATATAACAATTATAATAATTTACAATGAAAAACAGTCATAAGATAAACTTTATTATTGCTCAATTGCTTAAATCATTATTCTAACATTTTAGTAGGTGTGACTGGGATCAAACTGGTGGGCAGGATTTAGCACAACAGGCTTTTTTAAAAATTGATTTAATAAACAATTTGGTTTAATTGGCACAGTCAGCTTGTTTTGTCTTTATTGAATGTCTGTCAATGCTACATCACTATTGACTTTAAGAAGCAAGTATTCAGTACTACAAATGCTAATTGCATATGTTAGATTAATCACAGTCTACCTAAATGTGCTTTAAGGTTTTAGGTGATGTTATGATTTCTTTTTTAAACATAATAACAGTTTTGCAACTGCATCTGATACCCAGATGATTGTAAGATGCAAGTGGTTAAACAAATTTGGACCCATGTTGAATTACAATATGTGAAGGGAAACAATGTTGCTATATTGCACAACTTTTTAAAAGCTTTACCATTATTGTGGTTATCCTAGACACAACCATTTGTTATTGAACCATGGATGCAGTCACAACGGCTTGAGGACAAGTATGACTTCTGAAGGGTGATGACAGCTTTAATTCAATGGCTTATTTACATTTATAAATAAAATTGCTGACAACCAAAAATTCCCATAGACTTAACTTGGGCACAAAATGGCTTACAACAATATCTAGATTAGTAAGTCGTAGAAGCTTGAGAGTGGGCTCGTTTTACTCCGCCTATCAAGTCGGTATTAAGTAGTGACATAACAAATTTGTAGACACTCCCTAGCAACCACTTTAGGCCCCCTAACAACCATATAACAACATAAACAAGCCATATTTCAGCACAGGAATATCGTAGAAAGACAGGTTTTGGGTTCTTTTGATGCAGGTTGATCAAATCTCTATTGTCTTCACCTATTACAAAGGCGTTGCCACACCCTAGCAACCACATAAACACATGAATTTAACCATTTCTCCACATTTACTGCTATTTTGCCCAGTTTAGTACCATTTTGTACCCCATCGATTTAATTTCAGAAATGAAGATGCCTAAATTAAGAGGAACTTGGTATAAAAGGAAAATCAGTTATGATTTCTGAGAGAGAAAATAAAAATTATTTATATTTTAAATTTAAAATACATTTAAAAATACATATATAAAACATGTTATATAACATTTCGTAATTTTTTAAAATACTTTTAAATTGAAAAGGAATCAAATGCGCTACCATTGGATGTATGACTGATTATCTGTTTCTAATTGGCTAAGCCGTTGCAAAGAGTTGGTCACAAGTTCGAGTTGGATCATTTCATGGATTCTACAGTTGAGGTGAGTTGTGTTGTGGCTTTTTCTTCGAACTTCTGTTAAATCACTTAAAATGATAAATAAAATGCTGTGGAGTGTTGTCACATGTATATATGTTGGCCATTTCTATATAATTTATAAAAAAAATATATACTGATTAATTTCGTGTGAACAAGCGAGCAGTCATGCTAACAAAGATTTAGGCGGGAAGCCGAGGCCATAACTAACCTTATAGAGGTAAAGTTGGTTTTATAATCACAATTTTGTTCATTTAGAGGTCTCTATATTAAAATGTTGTACTTAATATACATTGGCTGCTTATATGAATTCCTTTTTAGAATTTGCAAAGAATACTTTTCTGTTATTCTGGAAAATGTCTGAATATCCGAATATAAAATAAACTTTACCTCTACACTAACCTTAGTTACTAATATCTCAATGCTGAAAAAAACAGCTTATGCTGGTCTTGTTGGTCTCAGTGACTACGTTTACATGGACATCAGTTATCGAATTATTTGCTTTAATCTAATTAAGACAATAATAAGTTTTAGGTGTTTGCATGAGTTGCTGTTTAAGTGTTAACGTTACTTTCATGATCGCGTTTACGAGATATTGGATGCAACTATGAATTGCTGGTTTTAAGTAAAGTTCATACCGCATGCTAAATGGAAGAAAAAGAAAACCTCCGCATTACACGATGCAGGTGTCTGTAGTCTGCACTAGTGATTTGCGGATCGATACTTAAATATCGATTATCTCCGATAACGTACCAGCTTTGTCTATTCTAGAATCGATCATCTTATCAAAATATCGATATTTCAATAATTTGGAGCAAATATGTATTTTATTGGAAGTAGAAACACAGCGGAAAGTAACTACAATTACCATAGTTTCTCTGAATAATGCCAACTTAGTCGAACTACTTTTTCTTCCGCCTGCAAAATCATGTGCGTAATATGGCACCGTACAACTGCAGTGCAGAGACTAGAGCACGCTAGCTAGCCAGTAGCCACTCAGTCCGCTGGGCTGGCACATGCGACATTTTGTGTGGAGCTACTTCACGTCCATAAACTCAAACGTTGCAGTTTGTAACACGTGTAACAAAACAGTAAGGTACTGTAGTGATACTAAAAACCTATTCAAACATCTACAAAAATCACAAGACAGAATATTACAATGTCATGACTAGGCAGTCTGAAGAGGAGGAAAGGAGAGGTACAGGTGCTGCTAGGGCGAGACAGACATCGCTTTCAGAGTCCTAGGTGCAGGCAGGCACTATCCAGGTACAGAGGGAGAAAATGTGACGATGTGGCTGTATTAGGGGTGTACCTAATTAACATGTCACTAAATGAAAAATGCTGTTTACAAGGTTAACCCCTTATCAGAGTATTGTCTTAATCACATTAAAATCTAATTATTGGTGTCCATGTAAAGTAGTCTGGTCAGGACCAGCAATGAAATCAGCAAGACCAGCGTTGAAACATACCAGTTTTTTTTATTTTTTCAGCAGGGAGCTAGCTAGCTTATTCACTATATTTTTTTTTAATAAAAACAATTTCAGTATTTCACTAGTCTATTCTAGAACAAGTAGAATATTTTCTAGTGTTTTCCAAAGCTATATTATTAAAATGATTAATCATAATACTAAAAAATATAAACTATTTGTATCTATGTGTCCTTTTTATTTATCGCCCACTCATTCTGTGTAAAAAAAGTGCAGTATTGTTTTGTAGTTTTTTTGTTGTTTTTATCTAATGTGAACTTACATGGGTTGATAAGTGTTTTTTTTATGCATGGCATCTCTTTTTCTGTTTTAGGAATATTTGACGATGGCATCTAATGCAAGAGGCAACAGTGAGTATGAACATTAAAAAATTTTTAGGTCTATAACCAATTTTCCACTATTGTGTCGAACGGTGCGGATCCAGACCAGTGAGCATGCAAATGGCTAAATTTTCCACTGTGCTGCAGACATAACAAACTCTGCTTATAACACAAATACCTAAGTTGTTGCCTTGGTATCCTGAGTGTAATGTAAACATGGAAATGGTCATATAGACTTGGTGACATCATGTACAGGCATACTCTATCAGTTTAGTTCACTGGTACTACAGTTCAGTAACAGGGTCACGTGGAAACCTTTGTAACCATGTCTGAATGTTCGACACAATGGTGGAAAAGCAGATAATGTTAAATTGCAATTTCTGATACGATTTATGTGAACAGTAGTGTTATCAACAGTAGTGATATTACAACGTATATCAATGTTACTTAGGTTATGTATTTTTAAAATGTAATTTTAGATACAAAAAATAAATAAATGTTATGCATCTGCATCATAAATGTAAAAAAGCTTCTTCTTTTCCAGTATACTGCTCTGTAAATGTTTTATGCTTAGTAATTAGTAGTTATGCATAGCAATACCTCTGAATCCTGAGATGATACATTGTTATTTGATGTTCATCATAATTGTCCAACATTATCACATAAAAAAAAAAGATTGCAACTAACAGTGAAAACTACTCTTTACTAGAAATCAGAAAAGAACAGTGCATAATCAAGAAAGCATTTATTATTTCTGAAAGTCGCATCAAGAATATATTGCTAAATGTTGAATTGGCAACAAGTACAGTGACTAATCAAAAACAGAGAAATACTAGGAACTGTCCCTTTAAACTTACAGTACACCGCAAATATAAAACAGAACCAACGGTTTTTTTTTTATTTGTTTATTTAACGTTTTATTGAAAACTGACATTATTCTTATTCTTTTTCAATCAACAGGACCCACCGTGTTCGTGGTCGGTGACAGCTACATTCGCCGTGGGGAACAGTGGGCAAGGCAGACTGTCGGGACCAACCTTGGTCTCGACGCCCATATCAGGTGGTTTGGCTGTGGAGGCTTGGTCTGGAGAAACCTTCTCTCTTTCTTTCACCGCTGTCTTGGAGGAAGAGCTGTGCCAGATGTCCTGCTTGTTCACTGTGGTGGAAATGATCTTGGTAAGATCAAGAGTATTATACTTGCCGCAATGATCAAGCAGGACTTGCGAGACCTCCATAGACAGTTCCCTCAGATGAAGATTATCTTCTCTGCCATCACCCAGCGATGCCTGTGGAGGTCTGCTGAGAATCTGAAGAAGGTTGACAGGGCACGGCGCTTTGTCAACCGTGTGATGGCTACTTTTATGGTGTCAGTTGGTGGTGCCATTGTTCATCACCCTGAGATAAAACATAAAGATCCTAGCCATTTTTTACGTGATGGAGTTCATTTGACCCCTTTGGGCAATGACATATTTTTAAACAACCTTGCCCGGTGTCTGAAAGATCAAATCCAGTAGGGTGATGCTGGATTTGAAGTTTCCACCAAATTTAGGGATGAAAAATGGCTACGATGTTTTAGTTTTTTTGATATGTGATGAACAATGTGTGTGTTTTTTTTTTGTTGTTTATTTGATGTTGTTTTACCTAGCCATCACACTTCAGACAGATCTGTCACAGCTTTTTCTCCCTCTTCTACCTTTTCCCCTCTTCTCCTCTTTTCCAGACCCTATGCTTCCTCAGCCAATCCACCTGATAAACTTCTACAGCACTTTACAATACGGGGCACATAATTAATATTATTCTATTTACAAACATGAACTAATATATGTATTATTAATTGATAGTTTGTTCATGCTAGTAAAAACACTATAACTATGTGTCCCGTATTTAAAAAGTGTTGCATTTATTTTTCCCCACGGTGAATGTAGCTGTCATGATCACCAGCTGGGGCATGCACAACCTCTACTAGATGACACTCTATTCCACATCTGGATTACATTTCCCATAAAGCTTTGCACCTCCACAGATGATACATTTTACCAGGAGGATTTCCTTGATTG